GTTAGATTTATTTTAAATGTTTTGAGAACATTACCAATATCTTTTCAGTTCATTTTTTCTATTAATAATGCGGAATTTAGAATCATCGAATAAATTTGGTTTAATTATTATTTTCAGATTTCTATTTCCTAATAAATGGCATCTTGGTGGAGTTTTCGATACTTATGGTTATATTTTACACTTGGACAATTTAATGTTTTGTATGTAAGAACAGATTGGCCTTCTTTGAATACATCAAATATACAATTATTGAGTCTTCTTTATGATACACCAGGTGGATCTAGCCCTTTAATAACTTACGTTCATGGTTTTGCAATGTTTAAATCAGCAATAATACTTGCTCAACGATACAATATAACAATTGAAGGACAGTTTATTGGATCCCAATCTGTATCGACCGATGGTATTATCATGGATGTTCTTCAAAGTACTTGTCAGATAACATCAACGGCAAACATCGTTGGTATCGTAGGACCGCGTCTTTCAAGAGAATCTCAGATTATTGCTCCTTTTGCTGCGAAAATAGGAATTCCTGTTATATCACATGATTCAACTACTCCTGCATTATCTGATCGAAGTGCGTATCCTACTTTTTATCGAACCGTTCCTGCAGATGATACAGCTGCATTAGCTATTGGTCAATTATTTATTCTATTGAACTGGACATCTTGTGTAGTTATCTATCAAAATGATGCATTTGGACAAGGCTTTGAACAAGCAATCTCAGATGTATTTAATAATTATAATCTAACAATTGCAGAAACAATCATGTTCGATATTGCAACACTTCATATTCGAGGTGATTTGAAATCTCTTCTAATTAACAATCCAACTCGAATAGTTCTTTTATGGGCTCAAGAAGATTATGCAACTATGATTTTACAAAGTGCACTTGATTTAGGTGTACTCGGTCCAAGTTTTACATGGATATTAAGTGCAGAGATTGATTTAAGTTCATTTGACCCACAATGGTATCCAAACTTAATTGGAATGTTTACAATGGAAGCTGTTGTTGGAAATGTTGTAAATGCACCAATAAATACAACATTATTAAATGATGCATATAACATTTGGCAGATGTATGAACCTGAATCATTTCCGGGAAGTGCAAATGTTGATTACAGTGCATTGTTTGCATTTGATGCAACTTGGACTTTAATTCAATCATTAGCACAACTTTGCTCAACTGTATTCACTAATGATTCATCCTCATGCATATCATTTACAAATGATACATTTTGTTTTAATAAACAATTTCTCAATACTGATAATTTATTGAATGTAATTAATTCGAATACATTTCTTGGTGTTACAGGTCCTATCCAATTTAGTGCTAATATAACAAATCGAGTTAATGGCACATATTTTATTTTAAAAAATGTTCAGAGTGCTTCAAATAATCTTCAATATGTACCAGTAATGTCATGGTCAAATTCACAGATTTGGACATTATATACATCAACAAGTGTAATTTTGTGGCCTGGAAATACTTTGACACTTCCTAGTGACAGTGCATCTGCTTCAGGTGTCACATTTCGCATTGCTATTTATGAAGTCACACCATTTACGATAGTCACACAAACTACTGATTCATTTGGAAACATAACAACAACATACACTGGATATATGCCTGATCTTATTAACCTTTTGCAAACTAATATGAGTTTTATTCCACAAATTATATTAGTTCCATCAAATAATACCTACGACGATTTAATTTATGCAGTAGCAAATGGAATGTACGATATGGTAGTAGCTGATGTAACAGTTACTTCCGCACGAGAAGAATTAGTTGATTTTTCAGCTTCAATATTTGATGATTCATTACGTATTATTATACGAGAAGCACCTAGTGTTAATATAGATTGGTTGGCATTTTTAAAACCATTTTCACGTACTCTTTGGTTAACTATTTTAGGTACTGTTGTATATGCAAGTATTTTAATCTTTTTAATAGAACGCCCATATAATGAAGCATTACAAGATCGATCAGTTATATCTGCGAGTGCAATGTCTACATGGTATTCGATGGCTACCATAATGGCATGTGCACCGGATTTTAATGTTACAACAGCTGCTGGTCGATTATTAACTATTGGCCTATATATTTTAAGTTTAATATTACTAGCAGCTTATACAGCTAACTTAGCATCTGATTTAACAATACAAAAATCGCAAACTGTCGTTAGTGGAATCGATGATATTAAAAATGGTAAGATACCATTTAGCCGTATTGGTATCCTTGTTGGTTCAGCTATGGAAGATTATTATTTACAAGAAGTATCCGGTGGTAGTCGAAACTTTTATTCGTTAACATCTATCACAGAAGCGTATGATAAATTATTAAGTGGAGTCATTGATGCATCAATTATGGATGTTGGTCCTGTAGAATATGCAACTACTCATATCTATTGTAATTTAACTTTAGTTGGAGCTGACTTTGATGCAAGTGCATTTGGTATTGTTTATCAAAAAGGCTGGATTTATGCAAACGAATTAGATGTAAATCTCTTATCATTAAGAGAACAAGGTGTTTTGGATACTTTAAGAACAAAATGGTTTGAAGGAGGTGATTGCTCACAGACAGACGATAGCGGTACTGCGATGACAGTTGAATCATTGGCTGGTTTATTTTTAACTTTTGGTGTTATTAGTATTCTGTCCTTATTATTATTCGTTTGGTTAAAACGATCAGTTATAAAAGATTATTTTAAGTCACGTAAGCGTCGAAGGACTTTAGTAATTACTCAGAATACAATGAAAGAAGAACATCCTCAAGAAACTGTTGCTGAGCAGTTCGTACACCTGTAATCGCTTTTCTCTGATAAAATAGATGTACAAACATGAAACTATATTTTATTTACAAATAACTTTCAACTTATTCTCATATATTTCATTATCTATAAACTGATACGAATATTCAACGATAACATTTATTCAATCATTAAAAAATTTAAAGTACATAGAGTTCTTCAGGATAATTTATATTACTCTAACAAAAATAATAACAATTTATTTTCCTAATTTTCTACTCATTTTTTATTACTTTTTTTATAATAAAAATGCATAATCTTGCTCTATTGATGAGGCTAAACAAACTAAAAATGAATGTTATACCCATTAAACTTTCAAGATATTTTACTATAAACAGAAATTTCACAGTTCCTATTATCTTCATATTCTTTCGAAGCAAATGTATTTTTAAAAGATAAATAAAAAAGGAGAAAAGATTTTAAATAAGAAAATCGATCCCATATCAAAAATAAATTCTATCCGTCCAATTGTGAAAATTTAATGATAATCGAAGTGAAACACTTAAATCTGTTTATGATGTTATTTGTTCTATTCATTCTCTTAAAGACTTACATATAGATATTTCTATTAGTTGAAAAATTTCATTAAAATAACCGTATCCTACCAATTTTTGATTTGAATCAGTATTATTCTTCGTTACTTCTAATAAAGTTGTGCACGAACTTACTGTTGTTTTACAAATCTCCTGTTGATATTCATTCAAAATTGTTTAAAGCTACAGTTACATGCGCGTGTACATACATACGTGAGCCAGATATATATATATTTTTTCTGAGAGACAGAAAAGGCTCAGATAAATTTAAAGAAATAAAACAAGCAGAATAGAAGACAATTCTGTGTGTAAGTTTAATATTGTTAGTAATATCGTTGTGGATGATGTAATGAAAGGAAAAATTAGGAACGAATACAATCTTATAGATGATATCCGAATAGAAAGAAAAACAGAATCATCAAAACTGACTGTTGATTTAATTACGCTACATAACTATACATTTTTCTAGAAAATAAAATGAAAGAAATTGATAAATACATACAGATTTAGATCTAGATATACCTGTCGTCTGATAATTGTGATAAATAATCTCGTTCAATTAAACTTTCAATGCGTTTTTTCATAACATTATTTAGATTTATGGAAAAATCATTAACTGAATGGCTCGAACTTTTTCAAAAATCGAATAAACTTCCATATGATCCTGTCAATGATATGAAAGGTATTTTCGAAAATGAACAAGTTAGTTACTATGTAAAAAACAATAGAAAATAATTTAGATCACTTTTCAAAAACAAGTTATTGAAATCAAAAAATTCAAATCGAATAAAATCTATTCGTGCTGTTGGTAATTACAAAATATTTTCTAATTGTTAATAAGTTTTGAAGAACACTCTTTTCAATTATTAATTTAGGTCCATCAGTGAATTTTGAAAATGTCAAAAAATCTTCTATGCTTCGTCATGATATTACTCAGACATAGGGAAAAGCTCATTTGAAGTTGCTAATATCAACTTGTATGCAAAAATATTAATTGAAGTAAAAATTATTTTTTGAGCAAAAAATTCGCTTTCCTAGCAATTGATTATATTGAAGGAAATGATTGGACAGTTGAAAACATTTCGTTGTAAGACTTGTCATATTTTTATGGATTTTATACAGTTTAAATCATAACAAACTATGAAAAATCAGTAAAAATAGGATATATCTTTATTGAGAAATTGCATCATCTATCCTGATATTATAAATAAAATTTTATGTTACAATAGTTTCTGCAAATAAACGCATAATTAATCATCAAGCAATTAAAATATCATTCGTTTTGGAAGGATAAAGTTTATTTTCATTTGATATTTGTGTCAAACCTTTTTCATTAACAATCATACATGAACAATATTCTCTTTATAATAATTACAATAATTTCAACATAAAATAATCATTAGCACAGTTTTTTATATTTAATTTCATTTTCCAATTGTATACATTCAACATTAAAATGTAAACTTTAGTTTTTCTTATTACTCATATTTTTTTTGATAGTATCGCATGGATTAGCTAACTCTATCAGTCATCTAAGATCAATTAATGAACCGAAACAAATTATTATGACTTTGGCGCTTTAATCATTCTTACAGGCAACCATGTTCGATATGAATAGTTACGAATATACAAATGAATGAATGAAATGAATAACTATTCAATATTTCTAATTCAAGGCAAAAGAAGAATGATAAAGTTTCCGTCAATCAGTTTTTTTTCCTCTTTTTGATAGATGTCATTTCATTTTCTCCTTCAAATCTCAATAATAATTGGTTAATTATTTGACGAGAATGAAGAAGAACCTTGGATAGCTCAAAAAAAATGTTTGTTTATTTATTTCCTTTTTTCATATATTCGTAACATTAATACGATTCTTTTTATTAAAACAGAAATTCTATTTTTCATTTATATTCATTTTCGTTTATAGATGCCGAAGCGCGTTCATAGCGCTAGTGATCGTGATGATGATACTGAATCAACTAGTAATCAAAGTGCACCAAAACGTACTCGAAAAACTAATGATGATCGTGAAATTGTAAAAGAAATCTTATTTAAAACTATGTCTTATTCAATTTATTTTTCTTAGAATGATCTTTGCCAAGAATTATATGATTCCATAAGATCCTATAAATCTGAAGACGGTAGAGTTATTTGTGAAACTTTTATTCGTTTACCAAGCAAAAGGTATTTCTTTTTCGTAAATTAAGTTATATATCTAAAACAAAAACAATATTAATTCTATAGAACACATTCGGATTATTATACATTAATAAAACAACCAATTGATTTAATTCGTATTCAACAAAAAATTCGTACAGATGAATATCAAACATTTGAACAATTTAATGATGATATACAATTACTTTTAACAAATGCAAAAACTTTTTATCGAGTAAAAATTAATTCATTCAAATAATACATTTTACTAAGGCTAGCTGAAAATTCCTCTTTTTCTAATTATGAAGATATTCTGAGTAAAATAAACTTGTATTTCTTGACTGATCTTGGTAAAATAAATATCTGTCAAATATTACAATCATCAGTTAATAATAGATTCAAATCAGAAAGTATATTTGATAATTTTCATTAGCGTTGCTAGGTTATCTCATGAAACTGTAGCAAAGTAAAAACAATATCTTTAATTATTTTCTCCTATTAGAAAAATTCCAATGAATGGCGTGATGCAAATGATCTATCAAAATACTTTTATTCCAAAATCAATGATGAACAACCAAATCGAAAACGTATATTAAAAAAAGTATGAAAAATATTTTCCTTCCGTATTTGTAATAAACTATGATTTTATTCTTTAACTTAGAACAATGAAATTGATAATGAAGAATTATCTATTGATAAAAAACGACGTTTACAACAACCATCAAATGAATTGATAACAAATGGTACAAGCATAAAAATTGAATCCAATAATAATCTTTCCATTGATCCATATTATTTTGAAGAATTTTTTACTGCTATTTATAATGCTAATATCAATGAACGTGCTATGTCAGAAATATTTTTATTTTTGCCTTCAAGAAAAGTAAGAAATGTTTTTTTCTTCTTCAAAGAAATCTTCATTAATAGATTTTGAATTTTGTAGCTTTATCCAGATTATTATCTAATTGTTACTAATCCAATTGATTTAAAATTAATAGCAATGAAAATACAAAATAATCAATATTTAACATTAGATGATATGGAAAATGATTTATTATTAATGATATCCAATGCAAAGAAATACAATGATCCGAAATCACAAATTTATAAAGTAGAATAATAAAAACATAGAAAAAAGTATTTTTGAAAATAAATTTCTATTATAGGATGCAGGTGCATTAAGAAAGATGATTATAAATGTACGAAATGAACTTGATTCAGCATTAAAATCAACAAAAAATGATCGATTAAGAACACGTAAACGTGATGTTGTTCTATCATCTGAAATTGCAAATACGGATTATCCAGAAGAACCAAATGATGAAGATATTATTCCTATAAAATCAAATGATGATGCAGCTGATTCGGATACAAGTTCACTTGGTGAAGAAGAAGATTTATTTCGCATTTTATATAATGCTGTTCAAACTTATAAACTTGGTGCTCAAAGTCTTATTGATCCATTTATGAAATTACCTAAGAAAAGATTTCATCAAGATTATTATGAAGAAATAAAACAACCAATTTCTATGTCATCAATTAAAAATCATATTAAAGTAAAATATAGAAAATAACATGAATAAATTATTTTTCTATTATTTTCTTTTAGAAAGGAGAATATACTTATTTAGCAGATCTTGTTGATGATCTGAAATTAATGTTTAATAATGCTATGCAATATAATCAGGAAGGATCACTCATATATAATGTAAGTCAATCTAAAAGTTAAAAATATATATTAAATAAAACTTTGTATTTTATATTTTAGAGTGCAAAAAAATTACTGGATATTGCTCTTTTCAAAGCTCATGAACTTGGATACGATGAACATAAACCACGAGTACAAGAAGTTCGTCTTAATTCTTCAATCGTAAATAAGAAAAATGATCTTTTTTTCTACAAATACGAATAACATTCACGTTTTTTTTTTATTTTAGATTCCAATTAAAGAAGAACAGTTCGAATTATCACCAAATCCGCAAGTACAACCACGAAATCGTTCTTCCCCTGTTGTTGAATTGCCAAATGTAAATTAAATTGTTTCTTTCATTTTGATTAATTATTTCATTTTTACTTTCAGTCTCAACGAGGTCGTCCTTCAAAAAAACTTCTAAAAAATACCGAACAAAATATTCAAACACTCTATTCCTATATTCGAGATTATCAGGTATATATGAAAATATTTCATTTTTAAACCTAATCGTTTTTTCTTCTATAGGAAAATGATAATGATTTAATAATTCCATTTTTACAATTGCCATCTGCTATTGACTATCCTGATTATTATGAATCCATTGAAAATCCTATTGATATGTCAATAATAAAAGATAAAATGGATAAAGGACAAGTAAAAATTATTTGAACATTGATTTAAAAAAAAACAGATATTTTATTTTATTAGTATAAACGTGAACAAGATATTGTCGATGATTTCAATCGTATGTTTAATAATGCAAAAATCTATAATGTTGATGAATCGTATATATATAAAAATGCTTGTCTTCTCGAACAATTATTAATTGATAAATATAAAGTTTTAATGAAAATGAAAGAAAAATTGATAAAAAATTTAAATGCTAATCGAATATCAAATCAAGGAATAACAAAAAAGTATGAAGAAAAAAATTCATTTTTATATTTATTTTTCTCTTCTTCTTCTTCTATTAAAGATCATCAAATCTTCCATCATATAAAACATTAAATAATATAATTCAAATAATCAAAAATTATTCAGATCATCATGGACGAACATTATCTACAGCATTTTTAGCTTTACCATCGAAAATTGATTATCCAGATTATTATGAAATAATTCAACGACCCATTGATCTTAAACGTATTGAATCACGTCAATATATATCAATTAATGAATTATCTAATGATTTACAATTGATGTTTGATAATGCATGTTTATATAATGAACCAGGTTCAACAATTTATCGAGTAATTTTTAATAGAAAAACGAAAACTTTTGTTCTATTGAAATATTTTATTTTCAGGATGCACTTTCACTTCAAAATGTTTTCCTTAATCAAAGAAAAAAATTCCTCAATACACAATTAAATGTACAAAGTTTAATTCAAGATTTGCTATGGGATTTGTTTATACAAACATTTAATGCTGAAGTTTGTTTAGATTTCTTTTTTTTCGTGATTTTATTATAATTAATTTTAGGATTCACAAGGTCGTTTTTATACGGATTCATTTACTGATTTTTCTGAACAAGTTGAAAATGAACCGTAAGAATAATTGGAAGAAACTTTCGTTTTGATTCATTTTATTTAAATAGATTTGATATTGTATATACATTTGATCTGATTAAACAAAATCTCAATCAGGTATTTCATAAAAAATATAAATTCGATTGAATATTGAAGTTTTTATTTATTTAGCGACGATATCATCGATTAGATGTTTTTCAAGATGATTTATTTCGAGTATTTGAACGTGCTCGAAAATTGAATAATATTGATTCTCAAGTAAATATTAAATTAATTTAGAATGAATGAATGAATTTATTTGATTTCTAATAGATCTATCAAGATACAATTCAATTACAAAGATTTTATATACGTTTACGTGATGATATATGTAATCATGGAAATCTTCTTCGATCACCGGCACTTTTGTTTACTGAAAATTGTTTACAACAAGAACTTGCTCGTGAACGAACAGAAAAAGATACAGTAGTTAGTAATAATCAGAACAGTATATCAACAGCTAAGTCATCAGATGATGATGATGAAAAAAAAGATTTAGTAAGTTGCATTCATATTGAATTACTTTTATTTTCTTTCTTTTTAGCCTATAAAAACTTTATCATCAACTGAAAAAAGTTCGTGTTCTAAAGGTGAAATATATTATATTGGTGATTTTGTTTATATTGAGTCAATTGATGAAAAAAGTGAAACAACTATATTTTGTATTGAATCATTTGAACATAAAGACGATGAAGATTATTTTAATGGTTTACAATTTTATCGTCCGATTGAAACTTATCATTTACCAACAAAAAAATTTCTTCGTCAAGAAGTTTTTTTAACACAAACCATGAAACATATACCAATGAATAAAATTCAAGGTTTATGTCATGTTTTATATATAAAAGATTATTTTAAATATCAACCTATTTTTGATAATCAATCAATAAAAATTCCCGATCTTGATAAAGATATTTATGTATGTGAATCACGTTATAATATTAAAACAAAAATTGTAAAAAAAATTAAATGGTGGAATTTACCTGAAAATAAACGTGTTAAATTAATTCCAAGAGAAACTATACTCGAACCAATACGTGAACAATTAACAATGATGAATAATAATATTTTACATCGTCATTCAATAAGTGATAATGAATATAATAATATGGATCCTATTGAAAAAATTAAAGAAACAATTCCATATGATTCAGTAATTAATGAAAAATTAAATGAAAATTTACAAGAAAAACAACAATTTTATGAACAAATTGTTATTTCATTGAATTGTTATTATAAAATAGGAGATTATGTTTATATTCAAGACAATAGTAATATTAATAATCAATCAGATAAAAAATCCATTCTACGAATTGATAAAATTTGGAAAGATAAAAAGTAAGTTGAGAAAGAAAAAATATACCATTTTATTTTATATAAATATTTGAAACGAAGATCTATATAATGAACTGTAAAGAATGATACATGTTAATACAAAACTGCATGATTAAACATTTGAAAAATTCTCTTTCTAAGCTTAATCCAGTAATGGCATAAGAATTCCGTTCGTAATCCTTTTCCGATGATTATTTTCCTAAGCTTTTTCTACGCTACTTTAGCATTTCGTCTTGAATTTAATCGTGGTTAATAATGTTTTTTTTTCTTGAAATTAAACTAACAGAACACTAAAAGCAAGGTAACTATTAATAATTTATAAAATACTTTTTTCAATGTTTATTCTTGCTTTGTTATCTTATGTCAAAACTTTATATAAAACGACTCCATTGACTAATGCCTCTGGTATTATCAATTGATTATTTTGTTTCTATGGAGATTTTTTAATTTATTACCTTTTTATAGGGTGTGAAGACTATAGAAGTTAATTTGTTGTAGAACGATTAAATATTCTTGTTACCATAATCTTCTTATTCTTTCAACCTTTCAAAAAATTAATGATGCAACATGACCTACTAAACTCTCATATGGATGTTCATATTTTATAGATAACTAATCAAAAAAAATATTACCTGGAAATTAGATTGAGTGTACATCTGAATTATTTTCTATTGAATAGAATAAAGCTTTATTTCCTTTATTATTATTATTTAAACTTTAATTTCCTTTTTCTTTTTTAGTTCATATATTATAAGTGGACCACCTTTTATTGGACTATGTGATATAACTAATCGAGATCAATTAATAACAACAACCAAATCATCTTATGCACGAGAAGTTTTTAAATGTGATAATTTATATAAACAAATTTCTATTGAGAATATTAAAGGCAAATGTTCAGTACTTTCACTTAAACATTATACTACTTGTAAGTTAAAAAATGTTGAAATAATTTTTTGAACTTTTAAATTTAAATTTTAGATCGAGTAACTGAAATTCCTGAAAATGATGTTTATGTATGTGAATCAAAATATATTGCTGATGATCATAGTCTTCGATCGTTAACAAAAGGATTAAAAGTATATATATAAATATATATATGAACATCTAATATCTATCTTTTTCCTTCTTTTTTTCTCTCTAGAGAACGTCATTATCATTGAAAGCGTTTGCCGATGAAATCTGGACTTTTCGAAAAGAATTATTGCTTCGACAAGTAATGAACATTGCTATTTTTTGCTTTTCTCGTTCTTTTTCTTTCCTTTCCTCTTCTCTTTCGCCTTCTTCTTCTTCTTCTTCTCCTCAACATATAGAAGAAGTGTAACTACGCATAGCGAACACGTCTCTATCGATTTGTTCTCGTAAATCATCGCCACTCGTCGTCCGTGTATATATCATTCTTTTTCTCTTTTCTTTTTCCTTTTTTTTTCTTCGTCGTTCCTTTTCTTTTCTTTTTCTCTATTCCCCGTATGTGTGTATGTGTGTATGCGTATGCGCGCTTTTTGCTTGCGCTCGAGCTCGAGTAACAAAATAAGACGAGCGTGTGCATCGCCGCTTATTCTGTTTCCTTTCGACGTTGTCGTTTACTGAAAAAATAACACGACGGGCAAATGTGAACATATAGAAAAGAGAAGAGAGCAATACAAAGTTAACTTTTCTTCTTTTTCTTCGTCCTGCTGCTGGTTATATCGACAAATATACGGTGGTGCCGACAACGTTACAGCTTGTCGACACAATTATTGTCGTTTGAAACAACGTATAGATATTATCGTGTGTGTGCGTGTGTAAAGCGGATCCGAACGCGCGCAACAGAACAGAACTGTCGACGACGGCTTCCGTCCGTTCGTCGTCGTTTGTTTTGAAAAATCAGCATTCTGGAGATAAAACCAAAGGTAATGCGCTCGACGCGTGCATGTGTATGTGTGCGCACTGGACGCAATGGGATGCGTTATTGTCCCTTTTCATTCGTCGTTCGCTCGCCCTTGTTTTCTTTTTTTTCCTTCCCCTTTTCCTTCTTTCTTATTTCTCGTAGTGCTCCTCGATTCAGGGTTCGCATGGCAAAACTGAGTAAGAATCATGCTAGTGTATAGACATCCTAGTTCTTAGTTTGACACGTAAAAAGAACAATATTCAATCAATGGAATAGTATTGAGAGAGAGGAGAGAGAGAAAAAAGAAAACAAGGCACGAACGCTCTTTTAAGTCCTCAAAAAATAACATATTTATTTGCAACATTCAATTATTCAGGAAACTCCTGGTGGCCCGTTCAAATTGGTCGAAGATGGTTCGTTTATGGACGTGGATGATCAAACAAATAGCAATCATGCCAGTAACGTCGATGGAGACGAACATCAATCGAATCATTTGAACTTTGAAACGGCCAACAGTAGTACACCTACTAATAATACAACTACTATTACTACTACTACTACTAACAATACATCAGTAACAACTCCTAATAAAAATAATAATAGTCGAGTAAGTTAATATTCTTTAAAGAATAAAAATTGTTTTATTATAAAATTTTAAATAGAAAAATAGTCGACGTGGATCATCAGCTCGTGCACCTTGTGGGTATCTTGTATTTGCAAGTGAATCACGAAAACGTCTTATTAAAGATAATCCGGGCATTCCATTCGGTGAAATGAGTCGAATGATTGGTGATCAGGTATGACAATAAGAAAAAATAAACTAATCCGTCTATTTATATTGTTTTCTTTTTCTTTTTTCGTCTCTAGTGGCGACGATTGACCGCAACTGAACGTGATAAATATGAAGAAAAAGCGCGTGAACGAGCAAGAGAGCAAGAGGTAAATAGGCAACAAAAAAACAAAAGAGATAACATAGATATATATATATATATATTACAGGTGGCAGTTGCAGCATCTTCACAAGTAACGAATAATAATAATAATAACAATAATATTATAACAACAGCAACAACAACACCATCAACAACAACAAATTACGATTCACACAATATGCCAGTTATTAATCCACCACGATTAGTGAATGGTAGTGTTACAATTAATGGACATTATCCAACAAATCCTAATATACCAAGTATGTGTATATGAAAACTAAAGTTTTGATTGTAAATATAATTTTACTTTTATTTATTAGATGTTCATCAAATGAATGGAAATATTCAGACAATACAAAAACCACCAGCAACTTCAATTGTTACTTGTCCACCTCGAACACAACGACTTGTTCATTCAGAAGCTTATTTAAGGTACAAAATAAAATATTTTAAATAATATTTTGTTACAGAAGATTTTATCTGTTTAGATATATTGAAAATTTAAAGCCTGATAATCAATTTATATCAGATTGGCCAAAACAATTAAAAGCTTCAATGAATAATACAGCAAATTCAAGTAACGGAACGAATACATCACGAACATTACCATCGAATTGGTTTTCAAATGGTAGTCCCGGTCTTTATAATAATGTTCATGAAGCATTATGGTCAATGAGAGATAATATGTGGTCAGACGTTATTCGAATTCGAAATGTACTTTCAGATGAATGGTAAATTAAAGAAACGATCTTGCTTCTTTTTCTGTTATTAAAACAAAACTAAACAATTGTTTATTACAGTAAAGATTTATGTATGACGGACTGTTGTAGAATGTAGTCATCGTCCTGTTTTTTTTCTCTTCTTCTTTTGTGTCTTATATATGTTGATTGTTTTCGTTTGTTTTTCTTTTCTGAATCCTATATATATATATTATAATGATTCACAAAAAAAAGAAAATGTATCAACAACACATTTGTTTCTCTCACCGTGATAGATTGCGGAATGTGTTGTATGTCTCTTGCGTGTTTGTGTGTGTTTTTTTTATATGTACAGAGAGCATTATGTTATTAAACTAAAACTAATGAAAATTAAGGATCGAGATTTTATTTTATTTTATTTTATGATTGTCATAATACGATACTCCAGTATAGTTCGTGTATTCATAAGCAAAACAAACAAACAGAAAAACATATTTATGATGATGGAGGTGGACCAGGTGGTAGAGGCGGTTGTGTATACATTTGATAAGCTTGTGAATACATTGTTGATGACATAGGAGGTGGTGGAATTGTTTTTATTTGATTGTATAATGTATTAAAAGATGGAGTCGGTTGTGATGGAATAGTTCCTCCATTGACTTGAGATTTTCCATTTATTTGTTGTGAATAAGGATGTCGAGGTGCAACATTATTATCAAAACGAGAACGTTTAAAATTTTGTGTTGTATCATTCTGAGTTGAATTAACTGGACTACGACTACGTGAACGTTTCTCACTAAAACGAGTATGTCGAGTATTATCCAAACCATTATGATTTATATCAATACGTCCAGTAAATCCTATATGAAGAAAAACAAATTATTATCTAAATCATTTTTAAATTTTTATTAAACATACCTTTACCATAAGTACTGTTTCGATTAGCAAAAAATTTTGCTTTTGACATACTATGTAATTTTTCATTTACATCTTGATTTGAATCTTTAAGTAATTGTATTAAATCATGTGCTTGTCTAGCATTTTCACGAGTAAAAAATGTATAAGCAGTTCCTTTCGTACCGGAACGAGCTGTACGACCAATACGATGAACATAATCTTCGGTTTGTGCTGGATAATCAAGATTAATAACAATACGTACATCTTCGACATCTTAATATATATATACAAATATATAAAATTTAGTTTTATTTATTCTTCAATTTCGATCATGACGACATAATTAGAAAAAAAAATTTCATTTCCCCTCCCCTCCCCTCGCCTTTTGTTTTGCAGATGTCATAAATCAGTGATAGTTAGATATAAAGAATAAAAGTAAACAAAAAAACTAGATGAAATTATTACCGTGTACCAAGTCGAAGATGTTCAACTGACCGCCAATGTGTATTATGTGCACGCATTGGTATCGAACGAGTATTTGTCCATACGTTCGAAGGCAATACGATTACACAGATAAGGGCGTGTCGAACGTCGATATGACTTAGCACAATTATGATCATAAATATTTTCTTTTAGTCTTTTCTCAATATTCATAAGAATTTTGTGTTCATCGACATTAATACAGTTACAGGCACGCCTCTGGCGTAAGACGCACCTGCAAATAACAAAAAAAGAAAGAAAGGAGACAAAGAATTAGCAATAAGTGCAAATAAAATTAGCTGTTTTAATTAAATAATTTTAATTTATATAAAAACATACCTAAACCACGAGCAGCAACATCCGTTGCAATGAGAATAATACGTGGTCGTGATCGAAATTCTTGTAAAACTCGATCACGTTCATTTTGACGTTTATTTCCATGAATAGAGAGTACCGGATAACCAAGACGTTTAATTGTGTAAAATATATCATCAACACGTTTTTTAGTTTGGGCAAATATAATCACTTTACAATCTTGATCACGCATAACAGCAGCTAAAACTTTTATTAACCTATTTGAAAATTATTAGAATCAATCGTTTTTGTTTTTTTTTCTTTCTTAAAAATTACTTTTGTTCTTTTTCACGTTCTTCACAAACATCAACTATTTGATGAATATTTTGATTGGCATTTAATATTGCTTTACCTAATGTTATATGTGAAGCATTTGTCATAAAATCTGATGCTAATTTTTGCACTTCTTTTGGCCATGTTGCACTAAACATTGCTGTTTGACGATCAGATCGAATACATTTAATAATTTTACGAATTTGTGGTTCAAAACCCATATCAAGCATTCGATCAGCTTCATCCAAAACAAGAAATGTAACACGATCAAGATTAATTGTTTTTTCACGTACAAAATCGAGCAGACGTCCTGGTGTAGCAATACAAATTTCTAAACCATATTTTATTTCACGTTGTTGTGGTGGTTTTGGAGCACCACCATAAACGCAGGTACTACGCATACGTGTTGCTGCACAAAAATCAGCTCCAACTACTTGAATTTGTTGAGCTAATTCACGTGTAGGTGCTAGAATAAGAACTAATGGATCACCGGATCTATTATCTGTTTGACCGTTAGCATGAATCAATGCAGGTAAAAGAAACTAAATTAGATATGATAAGATTAAAAATAATAGTAATAATAAACTTACCGATAAAGTTTTTCCTGAACCTGTTTGAGCAATACCAACAAGATCATTGCCATGTAAAAGTATAGGCCATGCTTGTGACTGAATCGCTGTTGGTCGAACATAACCAAGTCTTTGCATTACATGTTGAATAGAAGCTAATTAATAAATATATATAGAATAGAATTTTAAAGGAAATAATTTTTACCAGGAAATTGAACTTCATCAAATGCAAGTATTGGTTTAGGTGCAAAACCTTGTATTGCCATTTCATTTTGAAGATAAAATTGATCGGTTACTTGCTATTTAAATTGAAAAAGACAAAATTCAATGTAAAAATCTAATAAATTAAATTTCAATTCTTTTACTTGTCCTCGATTAGCTATTAATGATGTTTCGGAATAGAAATTTTTAATTATTGGTTGACCTGGACGTAGTGGTGCAATGTCAAATGAATCAAGATTATCAAGAAAATTATTTCCATTGCTTGCGCCCTGACGATTTCCATAGTTTGATGATCTATAATTATTATTATTACCTCGACCGTAATAACTCATGTTTGTTCTTTTAAAAAGGTGTTCTGTGTTGTAAATATATATGACACCTTTAGATATCTGAAATGGATTTTCAATAGAAGACAAATGGTTTAGAAGGTGAAACTCTCTAATTGACTAAAAAAACCAGGACAAAATATCGAATATACACGAAAAAAAATAATAATAACGTTATAGGATTCTAATGTAGTTCTTGTTCTGGATGATGTTTCGATACCCAGCCTTGTGGTCGTGGTAAATTAGGATGATCATCCCAAACTTTTCTTGTAACACTTGGATTAATTGGACCTACAGTATCATAATAACTTATTGGATCACCATGATGTTTTTCCCAATCACGTTTACGTGCACGATCAACTCGTATACGTCGATATGAAACAAATATACCAAACAAAACACCAAGTAAAGCACCAATTAAATAATATTGTTTACGATAATAGATATCCATATGCCATGGTGTTGGTAAACGTGCTTCAACTGGATCATTGGGAAAATAATTTTTATAAAAGTCACGAATATTAAATGTTATTCCTTTCATTTCGGGTTCTTTAGCACGTGGTAATTCATCATCAGGTGGTGCACGAAAATCTGGATCTAATGATAATGGTGTTGCATATTGTTTTTGATTCGTCGTTTTCGTTGTAGAAGACGCTGAACGAGTTAGAATTGTTCGTTCAATTATTTTGGAATAAATTTGTCTTGATGATGAATACTTTGAAAGTAACATTGAATGAAATGTTGATTGTTTATAGTTAAACAATGAAGAAATACTTGTGTAATACTCAGATATTGGCAACCATTTTGAATTTAACGTTATTTTATGAAGGTTTATTTTTTATTAAAAGAAAATTTCAAAAAAAAATATATTCTCGAATTGCGATAACAAAGATTAAATTAATTAAAATAAAATAAAGCTTTTGAAAGTTAATGATTAGTGGCGCCACAAGTGATTTCTGAATCATTCCAGATAATTCTCCTTAGATGATTCATTGACAAGAAATGACATCAGATGAGATGATGGTGCATTTTTTTTCTTATTCATTTATATATATCGATTCATATTTAGATTTATTCTATTCATTTCTTTATATACAAAAATGGAATTACCACATCTTGGTCAACATTGCACTTTCAAAGAATGTAATCGATTAGGTATATTACTGTTTTATTTAATTTTCAAAAAAAAATACTTATTTCAATTCAATTTCTAGATTTTCTGCCAATGAAATGTGATTTATGCTCTGCTATATTATGGTAAATATCTTTTCTTGTTGAATTAAAATATTTTGTTTTTTTTTGATTTTAGTAAAGATCATATAAAATATGAGGAACATCGATGTCCATCATCTTATCGTAAAAATATTCAGGTTCCAATATGTCCTTTATGCAATCAAGCTGTTACATCACAAATTCGTGATCAACCACCTGATGTTATTATATCAGCGCATATTGATCGTGATTGTAAATCTGATCCAGCATTAAAGAAACGTCAAAAAGTTTTTTCAAATAAATGTTCACTTATTACATGTAAACAACGTGAAGTAATACAAGTTAAATGTGATAAATGTTTACAAACATATTGTATAAAACATCGATTTCCTGAGGATCATAAATGTCAAGGATTTCAAAATACTGGTCGAACGATAAATCGAGCTGGGTTAGTTAAATGTTAGAATTTTTTTTTTTTATTACCCTTTTCTTTTTATAGTGCTGCAGCATTAGAACGTATGAACAAAGCGAATACAACAACTACAACAACGATGGTAAGATATGAATAACAAAATATTGTAGAAGAAATATATTTCGATTTATGTTTATATAGAATGAAGATGAAGCACTTGCATTAGCAATTAAACTATCTTTAAATCAAAGGTAAGATTTTTCAAAGTATTTTCATTAATTTTGTATTGAATTTTATTTTTAAATAGGACACAAGAAGATCAAGACTATCTATTAGCAAAGGCTTTACATGAAAGTGAACAAGAAGAAGCTCGACGTAATCGTAATACCGTAAGCATATAATTTCTATTAAGAAATATTTTTTATTTTCGTCTATGATATATTTTAGAGTATTAAAAACAAAGCTTAATAACAGCATCATATGATAATGATCAAATAGACGATAAAAAGACTTTGTGTTCAATATAATAGTCATGAATTTAATTTATTTCGTTATTTTTCTTTTCTGTTTATTTGGGTGATTGGTGTACCTATATATATATATACATATATTATTTTTTTATATTAAAAATCAAACTATCATACATTTTTCTTTGATGGCAACAAATATTTGAATCAGTTATTAGTTATAGAAAATGAATCATTTATTACTATGGCTAGAAATTTAGAGTCTGGTCAACCGAAGAATGAAAAGATTTTTTTTTCAATACATATGTGCAAACAATATCTTAATTCCATTTTAACGCTATATCGTCCAAGATTGACTGTAGCAACAAAACTTTCATAGACTTCAATAATATAGTTTTGTTTGCTGAGGAGTCTTTCACTAGTTTCTCAAGTTGTCAATTGAACTTCACTTAGATATTTATTATAATTTAGAAAAAAAATCGAACATACATTGCTTTTACCGTTTTCAGCTATCTATTATTGTATATTATTGTTTTTCGTTTCTCATATATACATCATACTTGTTTTCAAATTTCTATATTATACAACAAAAATTTTTGCAAACAATCTCATATGAAAAAAATTCAGTAAGGTGGGGATGGATGTGAATTCATCTATTATTTACCCACACCCGCACTCGTTTCCTATTCATATGTGTTAGTACTATATGAAAACGATAAACAAACATATAACAGGATCCAAGTTGAAAGCAAATATTTTCAGAAATTAGATGTAGATATACTTTAGTAGAATATATATTTCTTATTTAGAAGATCTAGAATTGATGGAAGATATGGTAAACATAATTTTCGGGTAGTTTATGCTACGAGAAGAGCCAGTGCAAGCTTGTTAGGATAAAGAAATCTATTTGATTTCATTTAATCAATACAAACGACAGAGTATAGTACAGCAGCTTGTGTACTGCTGGAGTTGCTTCCACTGGTATCAGCCGTTGCGTACACACAACAGAGAAAGCAAAGGACCCATAAGAACATTATGAAATAGACCAAATTGGGAGCAAGTTCATTACATTTTATAGAATCGTATGAAAAATGCAAAGGGTACCACACGAATCCCTAAATACAAATCACGTACTATTGATACAGTTTATATTATAGATATTATGTAACTGTACCATGAAAGCCCAGATCGTAAAGAAAATAAACGCTAGAGTAATTGCAACATTAACTACATGAGCACACTCATTGGTTTCAGCGTAAATAGAGATACACACCTAAAAAGTCAAATCAATGAATATATCTTAATAATTGACTAAACAAGTTCTATAAGTAACTTACGCAACATATTATTAAACAACAAGTTCCAATTCCTACTGCACTAAGGACGATCAACCAAATAGGTAGTAGTAGTTCCTGCGGACATTGAACTATTCTAGTCACACCGATAACAAGTATGACAACGAAAGGAACAGCAACGACTATAGCGCATAGGATGCTTGCTGTATGACTGCCACTACACTTCATTTCTTCCGATGAAATAGATCGATATACTCTAAAATGTAAAGAACATTATTAAATTCGAAAGGCTCCGTACTTTAGATTGAGAGTTTTTTAAAAATTCGTAAACTCAAAATGGTTTCGTATATTTTCTGTCATATTCTTTTAGCTATAATGTAGTTGAACAAGCCAAGAAATTTTTATACGAGATCTTCCATCAGTTCAAAAAGTACTATAGATATGGTACTTTTCACATGAAGTTTTCACCATACTATCGAATAAAAAAAATCATCTTATTTCTTTTGAAATTCCACAACGTCTAATATATTGACGGCGTAAAACCAAGCTAGTGGTAAGGAAAGGAAGCGCTATAGGTTATCAAGATGACATAAACGAAGCAATAGAAAAGTAGGCACGTGTGCTCTTCTTACTTCCACTTATTCACTATCAGTTTTCGTTGGTGTCTTCCAATTTCATGGCATTTACACGGAGAAGAATCGATGGATAATGATTTCACACACTGTTCTCCTTAAATGTTATCCTTTACCACCCTATCACCAATCGTGGCACTTCCAACAAAGCCGTTATAAAGTAAAAAATTATTATCTGTTCGTTTGGTACTATTAAGAATACTTCTTTTCTTATGTTTCTTTTAATATCCAAAGAGAAAAGTAATATAAAGAAGCTTCATCATTCTATTGGAAATCTAAATCAACGAACAGCTGTTTACCATACATAAACTTCTTCGGCTGCTAGTTCAAAAACCTTTATTCATTCGGATGCAAAGGAATCATGTGCTACTGTTACTTCTTCCACACATGCATATTTGCCCGCTTTTGTTTTTATAAAAGGTTCTTTGTCTCCTCTAACGTGATCTATTAACGAGAATTCTTCTCTCTAGAGAGTAAAAAATATATACCAAAGAGGGATGAGGGAGTGAATGGTTGTGAGCTTGTGAATGGGTGGTAGTCTTCTCTTCACTCACATTCATATCCACTCCCACACCCACACCCACACCCACACCCACACCCACACCCACCCCAAAAAATGTCAGTTCGTTATATTTGTCAAAGAATAATTATTGGCGACCAAGTGCTGCTCTGTTTATTCGCCCGACTGTTAAACGAGTTGGGAGTGGTATTTCTGGATTAACACGACGCTCTACTCGCCAAAACAGAAAGAGTTTGGTGCATTTTGTTCGCCATTGAGGAAGTGATGGAACAATTGCAAATGGAGTGAATAATATAATCCAGAAACACAAAAGTATACTATTTGCAAAATAATCAGCGGCTACAGTTCGCGGTATACCAGCTGAATATGCAGCATATAGAAGCATTGTTGGAAATGATATACAAAAATAGAGAGCTGAGATTGGTAGTAGTTGAGCTGCCATTCTCTTGTAATTTCTCCATTCAACTCTTTGATGAATCTGATATTTTTGATAAATCACACGCACAAGAAGAACTACACTAAATATAACCACAATAAACGTCGGCAGTATATAATGAAAAATACTATCCAATAGAGCAATCCAATCAATGGCAAGAATACATAAGTAACGAGCACATTGCTTCTTATTGTAGTTGAATGGAATGTCACAAGGTAGAATGAGTAGTGTAATACAATAAAATATTAAAGGCCAAACAATACATATAATCAACGGAAGATAATGAAAGACAAAGCGCTTTCTTGCTGTTGCAAACCACCTATGATGAAATATAAGAATATGTCGCTCGATCGATGCCCATGCCATCAAAAGATATGCTATTACCAATCCAGATGCACTAATAAATACCCAAGCGAGACAAAATGCAGGTGTAGATGACAGAACAATGTCAGTGCGATAAAAATAACCAGTCCACACATAATCTGTAACAGTTGAGATAAGACCAACACATAGAAGTAGAATAATAACATGATTGTTAAGAGCTGTTCGAAGTGCTTGACTGCTAAGAAGATGATAGAGATTGAAGATAGCAACGATAACAGATAGGATGAGTGGAACGAGAAGAAGCCATGAGTGAAGTATAAGAGAGACTGCCATTGAAACTATTATTTGTACTTGATACCCACTAAAAAATAAAAATAAACATTGAACTAAAGAGTGAGAAAAAATGCATTTAGACTTCAACTGTAGATCAACAACCTGTCGCACTAATAAAAAGTCTTCACAAATGACATACTCTTCAACATTTTTCATTTACAAGATTTTATTATCTGTTTTTCTCAGCTTTTAATTTAAGTCTTTTGTCTGTCGGATATTATAAAAATGTCAAATTATATAAGACGAAGACGAAAAAACTCATTATCGTATTCTGAACTGCTGGCAAAAAAGATGCATCATTGTAAATATACAAAGAAATAAATTTTTAATAAAAGAAAAAAAAATATAATATTTAACAGACGCGCCATAAAGAGTAAAGAGTTCAATATATTACAAATATCTCGCTCGTTTAGTCTATTTTTTTTAAATGCGCAATTTAATTCCCTACAAAACCATATGAAGAGAACTCTTTCAATAAATGATAATGGAATTGTATCTGATCAATACTAAAATGCTCCAAAATGGCCTACCGTCAAATGTATATGTATCTAAAACAAATTATTTCACTTCTTCTGGGCAAATAGATACCAAACGCCACTTTAAAGCACTTTTTCTATGTTTTTATTTGTAGAGTGTGGGTGTGGATTTGGGTGTTCTACTTATCTCTGTGCCACACCCACTCACACCCTCAAGATTGTTGTACCTATATATGTATTATTTTTTTATATTAAAAAATGAAACTAGCATAAATTGTTTCTTCGATGGCAGCAAAGTAGTTTTTTATTAGTGATATTCTATATCATCAGTTATAGAAAAATAAATAATATAACGAGGTTGAATACTAAAGCTTTTCGTTTTCAACTTACTTTAAAAATATTAAATTTCAACGACACATTTGAATGCATAGAACTATTTAATAATTTATTGACTTTACCAATTTCAAAACGAACTTTCTCTTTTTATGAGCTTGACATAAGTTAATTTTGAGTATTTAAAATAGAGAAATAGAACAAAAATCTATCATAATATTTCTATTTCACAGAAAAGAATGAAAAGATCTTTTTCAATATATATGTGCATACAATATCTTGAAATAATCGTAACTTTTCTTCATATATTATGACATTTATAAATTCTTAAAACAATCTTTTAACGATCGTAACATTATTCCATTTTAAACATAATTAATTTTCATACTTTTTAACGCTATATCATCCAAGATTAATTCTAGCAACAAAACTTTCATAAACTTCAATAATATGGTTTTGTTTGCTGAGAAATCTTTCACTATCTTCTCAAGTTGTCAATTGAACTTTCCTTAGATACTCTATATTAGGGTGGGTGTGGGTGTTGTATTATTCTCATCTCGTACCAATACCACCCACACTCTCTAGTGATTGCTACGTCTCGTTAAAACAAAAGATAACAAACCATATTATAAAGTTGTCATTCTTCATGCTCTTTATCAGTTTGTACAATGTTTTGTTTCATAGAGAGTTTATTATTATTTCAACGGATTTGATAACACAGCATTTATTGATCATCCTACTAATGTTACTATGCTAATCAGAAATAAAGATATTATTGTAGAGTAAGGACGTATTTTTGATATAAAACATAGATAAGCTATGGAATATAATGATAAGTTTCAGCCATTTGAATTCTATGTTTTGATCATAAATGGGCATCAACGAAGTATGAATCGTACTGTACAAAAATGATCTTTTATCGATGATTCGTACATGTAATATGGAAAGAACGACTGAGTTGTTATCGAAACTTTTCTCTTTTTTTGAGCAGTCAGCATTTGCTTAATGTTCCATTGCTCTTCTTCTCCTCCGCTCTAGTAATACTTACGACGAAGAATAAGAACGAAAGAAGCATTGTCACTCATGTATCGCTTGTTTCCATAATGGGAGATGTTTTCCATTTTTTATCTGTAACGATGACATAATAAGAAAGAAAAAACAACTAACCTATTTATGAATACACATATAATCAGACTGTTCGCCACTACGTAGAAAAATCTTGCATATTATTTTCGCCCTCCCAGATTACTCTTTTCATAGAACAGAAAGATGGTTCTTCTTTTTTCTATCAAGTAACTTCCTATAACATAACAGAAGAAGAAAAAAACCTATATCGAATCGAGTGTTGACATTCTTTATACTAGCAGAGAATTATTTATCACTTACCACTTGAAATATAAGCCATATATCATTCACGGGCTATACATAAATATATACATATACATATACCTATCCACATATATTCATATCAGAATTGTTGTAATATTGTTACTGAAGGTAAGGTTGAATGCTAGTTTCTTTTTTTTCTCTTATAATCAACATTCATTGTATTAGAAGAAATAGAAAAGAAGCATGAAAAACCTTAGCTAAGTTCAATATTACGACATCATTATCTATCAGTATTCTCGATACTAATTAGAAATATATGAGATGCAAGCTATTAGGGAGTTGGGTATCGATTTGATCTCTTAATTTTCGTATCAATTTTTGGTCTATAACCTGAACTCAGTGAGTATTCGAATTCGAATATAGAGAAGCAGTTGACTTCACTCATGGAAGTGAATCTTCAAAGTTTTGTCAATAGTTGCGTCTTGTCATCGGCATAATTGTATTGAATGAAAGACAACTTGATCAGCAACGTACGTTTATTTTATTTAATTAATTATCTATTTATTTATACAGAATCATAACATCTTGTTGGTGTTCCATCTCTGGATACTTCTCTCTGAAAGAAAACTAATATTTGTACATACTAAGATTGTAGAAAGGTGTGGGTGTAGGTCCTAGGTCAACAGTTACGATGAGTTACGGATACGTTTGGTAAGAACAGTATTACAGTCGTATATTGTCGCGTCGTAAACGACCGAATACAAGCATTGCATGCGGCGGAATACACATCCATGAAATCCAAGTGAAATTTTTTAGAAATCTAATAAAATCCGAGAGAAATTTATGTATAATCTCATAAAGTTTTTGAGAAATCTTCTTTAAAATACTTCTATTATCACCGCAGACATGAAATCATAAGGTCAATGACTAAGAATGACCTCCTAAAATTACAATGGACCCTTATGAGTATCTTTATATATGTCCCAGGCAAAATTAAATTTTAGACAAAATTAAACAGGCAAAACTTGCTTTTCTTTCCGCATGAAAACTTAATTTTTGTTTTTGGTCGGATAAATTAGTAACAATTGATAAGATAAATAACGTATCAATTGATTACCTCACTCATGAAAAAAAATTTATGAACTTCTTTAAAACAGTTTCCGTTATATTTTGTTTTAAACATCTACCGCACTCTACATTTTCCTAAAACTATATTGTCTTTTTATTGAATATGTCACAGTTGACATGAAAATTCAGTTGAGTTTGGAATGCTCGAAAATCTAAAAGAAAAAAAATATCGAAAAAGATTTTTCTATTATAATAAAATACGTTATTTTTATAATATCGTCCAACAAAAAAAACATATATTAAGAACAACTAATAAAAAATTAGGTGACTCATTGTATCATATATGTTTTTTTCCGATTTTTTTGTGTTTTCTGTGCGCGTCATTTAGAATTAAAAGAAAAAATATCGGCAAGATTTTTTTGTTAGAATAAAATAAATAATTTGTTTACTAGTTTCCAAGAAAACATATTAAAAACGTTGAATAAGAAATTGAGCGAACTCATTGTATCATATATTTGATTTTTTCTGAAAATTTTTGTGTTTTTGTGTGCTCCTTATTTAATATATACTAATTTATTCAAGGTTTAGTATTATAAAAATATAAAATAATTGGTCGTCTCATCTCATAATATATTGTTACATAGTTTTCCTAAAATCATTATTTCCATAAATTTTCTATATGAAAAAATTTTGCTAAGATCAACTAAATTAAATTTTTAAGACGCTTGTGTAAATAAACTGTATTCTGTTTATCGCGGTACGTTACTATGAAACACATAATGATTAAACATAAGCTATGACGACATTTTTAATTAGATAAATCGATGTATTTTGTTTTTATAATTAAAATATTATTATTTGATGGAAATATTTAATGAGAAAATAATACATATTCGCACGTCTCCGTTGCCTTATGTTTATTTAACTACTGACTTTCCTTTTTCTTGAATGTGATCGTAAATTTGAAAATCTGTTTATCATATTTCTTTCTTTGATTTTATCATCACACGTAATAAATATAATTTAACTGAAAATATTCATGTCTTTTCCTTTGTAACCGATTCTAAAAATACTTACAAAATCTCAATTACAGAAGAAAAAAATCTACGTAAAACTCTCTTATATTTACCATATTATTCTCCATCAATAAAAATCGATTTTTTAATCTTGTTATCATAAAAAAGAAATACAACATAATAAAAACTGAACAATTCATTTTCTAGCAAATAATCAATATCCCCATGTCCCCATTATCGAAAAAATAGTTAATATATTTAAAAACGAAAAACTAACAAAATCAATTCCACGTAATCGGAAATACTCTATTATCATAAAAATTCTTCTTAAAATCTACATACAATTTATTATTAACGGAAATATAATAATTTCATAAAACTAAAACTAACCTTCTTCTAATTCTATTTATAAATAGCTTATAGCTATACAAGACTACAAAAGCTTCGAAAAAAAAATTATTTTATTAATTTTAAACCTATTTCAAACTCATCTGCGACAAATATAACTTGCGAACTCTACATCTTTCTAAAATTATATTCATTTTTTATTGAATACAACGTAAGAACTTTACAACTTTGAAAAACTTAAAATAATAATAACAACTGAGTTATTTTTTGAATTTTTAAAATCATATGATCATAGAATCATTTTAAAATCAAGTTTAATTTTGCCTAAACCTTAATTCTGCCTGACACAACTCTCCGAGGGAAACCTATTCTTTAACGAGCGCAAAGTAGAAATCATTAAAATATGAAGTTAAAGGAGGGATATCGGATTGGAAAACATTATTTGCAGCACTTTTAAAAAGAGACTTTCTTTTTATCAATTACTTTTATTTCAAAATTTCTACAGATTTTTGACTTTTTATTTGGGAGAGGGGGAAAATCTGACGCACTGGATTTAAAATAAGCATATTCACATACGAAGGGTGAGTATGGGTGTGGTAGTTCTTATGACATCGACAATAAACATGTACACCCACACCCTCCCTCAAGATGGATCCTTGACATTTATTCTATTTTTCTCGGTGTTTTTTCTTTTCGTTCCTTCCTCTCTTCACTTTGGTGAGGAAAAAAAGATGAGAGCTAGATCAAACTAAAAATATATAATCTTTACTTTTATTCATTATTCCTAATTTTAGAACAAAAAATGCAATGGTTTTCGTTATTCATTCTTTGTGCCCTTGTATGTACCGTTCTATGTGACAAACCTACTAAAAAACCTTCATCGAAGTTCAAGACCACGAGAAAACCACTTCAGAAAAAGCCTGATTCGAAGACTGTCGCCGTAAAGCCGAACATAGATGTCTACAAATATCTCACAAAATTTGGCTATAATCCATGTGCAAATTCTACTAAGTCGAAGCCAACAGATGAATCTGGTCCATTATGTTCTACAAATCTGGCATCGATGGTTGAAGCCTTTCAAATCGCTTATGGCTTAAATGTAACTAAGAAACTCGATGCCGCTACAGAGAAGCTGATGCGAACACCGCGATGTAGTCTGCCAGATTATCCACCAGCATTTACCGATAGAGGAAAGCTGTGGTACGTCTTCTCTTGTTTCTTTCTGTGCTTTTGAAGTAGCCAAAATAGTCGTGCCTTATAATCATGATCTAGATAACATAAATGTTATGTCATTTTACGGCGAGAGAATTGATAAAAAAATCTTAACATTCCATTGCAGACTAATATAATTTATAAACGTTTCTATACGGTAGATATAGACATGTATGTGTAGGCTATGCGATCAAAAAATGTAATGTATCGTATATTTTAATCGAAAAACCATACAGTGGGACGACTTGAAGTGTTGATATGAACAACAAGCAGAAGTTAATTAATTATGTTAGAATTTTTCTATTCTAGGCCAAAGAATCGCACACTCACGTGGAAACTGGAAAACAGTCGTTCGCCCTTCGACAAATCAAAAATTCGTAAATATATTCAACAAGCATTTAATGATTGGGCCATTCATAGTGGATTAACCTTTCGCGAAGCATCTGAGAATGCAAAAGCTGATTTTACTTTGACTTTTGCGAATGATGAACATGGAGATGGATTTCCACATGACGGGCCTGGAGGAACTCTAGCTCATGCTTTCCCTCCCTGGGATCCTCGCACTCGCGGAACATCTCATTATGATCTCGCGGAAGATTGGTCGGACACGTAAGTAGAGTAAACACTGCTATGTTTTTAATTGGTTCGTAACTTGATTTTGAAGGTATGATGGTGTGGGTATTAATTTTCGCCTAGTTGCCTCGCATGAAATCGGACACAATCTTGGACTTGGACATAACACTCTAGAATCCAAAGCACTTATGAATCCATATTATCAACTATTTGAACCAACGGACATGTTACCGAAACCAGTAAGTAAAGTACTTCTTCGCTTCATAAACCATCCTCATATGTAACCTCTGCACAGATATATTAAATCGTAATCGTCCACGAGTTGACACTACGTAACTCTCTTTCGCTTTCCAAATTGTTAGTACTCGACAACCATTCAGTCACTATATGTGTATCGAATAGTGTGGGAGCTAAAACTATTTTTTAAAAAGTTGGTAGTTGACAAAACTGATGTAGTTAATGGTTATAACTACGGTTGATAGTTATAGCTCAATTAACTTTTTGGCCAAAAAGTTATTATCAGAGTTATAACTACACTAGTTTTAACTCCCACACTGGTATAGAACCACTTCTTAATAGATTATATTTCAAATGTTCCTCGATTAGAATTTTCAATGCACTCACAAATAGAAACAAGGAATCGAAAATATTTCTACTTAAGATACTCTTTTCGATGTTTCTCCTTACTGAAGTTTTTACTATTGAAATGACTATATGAATGTGATGAGAGTGTTATCGATCCTAGTACTTCTATTATTATCAAAATCGACACTGATACTAATCGATATACCAAAAGTAAGTATTGGAACGTCATTGAACACTACACTGCGTAGTGCATTATATTTAAAATTTAAAATATAATTAAGCAATGTGCTTAATTTTAGACTGCCTACCAAGTAAAAGACCACGAAATAGAACTGATCTTCTATTTAAGCTTGTTCTCATTTGATAGTTCTTTCAATCTCTCTAATCATCCTATGATATTTATCAGAAGTTAATATACATACACCTAATATAATGCGTTGAAATGGATTATATTAGCGTTCCTTTTAGTAATACCTAATTGTGTGAATCATTCTCCACCTGTGAGACGTGCCACGACTGAATAGTTGTGAGAAGAAAATTGATCTATCGCTTATGAAAGTGTCCGCAATTGAAAGTGCCTTGAACGCTTCGAATTTATTTGTATCATCCCAGTACACAACTGATATTATTCTTAAAAGAAAACAAAATTTGATAATTGGCTTTGTCAACTTTAGGATCAGATGCAAATTCGAATGCTTTACCAGACTACAGGGGTCCCGCCTACAGCAATCCCACCTACAGCAACCCCGCCTACAGCGACCAAACCAACAACGACAAACAAGAAAGGTCATAATAGTTTTTCTATTTATGCATCTTGCTTTGATATTCAGATCTTTTGTATATTTTCGCACGTCACTCTCCGAAGCAATACTAAGATGTCTCTGTGACGAAATTTGTCATCTGACTTCCTACGTCAGTGAGACACGGAACGTATATCAGCGGATGTTCGTTACTTCTCTCAAAGCGTTTATCTCTTGAATCACATCACACCTTACGTAATTACGAAAAAACCTTAGCGATTTATCCATTTTCTCTTCAACATTTTACCAATTTTGTTTCTTTGCATTGATAGTTTCCAGTTTCTTGCGGTTTCCTTTCTACTCGTTGATTAAGCTGAAAGTATTCGGAAAGCTTCCCTTTGCTTACGTTAGTGTCAGTAGTATCTATACATCGGAATTTTTTTCCAATGTTTTGAGTTAGCAGAAATATGGTTTCAGTCACGAAATTTTAACAACATCTCTTTATTGAGGTTCAATGGTGCTAACTATTTAGTTCGATACGTTCATTCATTATGAATTTTCCTTTTATGTCTTTAACGACAATAGGTATAGTATCAAGTAGTGTATATGGTGGCGGCGGCGGAAGCCCATTTAATGATATGAACATTTTCGGTAATTCGAAGATATTTATTCCTAAAACAATTCACATGGTACAAACAAA